ACTGAACAGCACAAAAATTTAGAGGCTATAGACGGAAGCGATAGGTTATAATGTTATCGCCTTGAAAAAGTGTGAAAAGGGAGCAACGGGCATTAACTGAAGCGCCCACTACCATCAGAAGCCCATTGGTGGGCGTCAGACAACCGTCCAACGGATTTGGATTCCTGGGGAACGGACGGTTTCGATAATCGGGCTTTTAACCATAGAAAATAGGGTTGCAAAGTCCGGCACCACAAATTTCTGGGCTTAGTTACTTGATCTTGAATACCTGACTCTCATCGATACATCATGTCATCCCACTTGTCCCTTCAATGACTCTTTTTTGAGAATTCGAACCTACTCTCTCATTATATGTACCTTTTGCTGTCAGTTGGGACACCTAGACAACCTTCCCGAACCTTCTATTCCCATATGCACTTTTCCTTTGTTTAGTGTGCAAGCAATATGACCTGAAGCAAGCATCTCTTCCCCAAATGGAAACAACTGAGGATTTGTCTGAGAGAAGCGAAGTGGTATGGGTGGTTTTACTTCCCAAGGCCTCGCACCCTGATCATCGATGCATATTCAGGCCTACTTCCGGCAAGTGTTCTCTCCACAGCCAACGGATGTTCCTGGTGGTGAGCAATATGCAGAAAAGAAAAAGAAGAATTCGAAGTATGGCCATTAGTTGCTCTAATTCCACAAACCCAACTTCATAAAGTTACATTTAGTTCAAATGCTCCTACACCGGAAGCAACACCGGCACCTAGCAGGTGAATTTACATACCCTATTTGAGCTAACGCGAGAGCAAGTACCAGCCTTTTCAGTCTAGAAGACGGAAAAAATCCTGGCGCAACCCCTCCCACGCCAACAGCACCACCAGTATCGGTAAGCATTGTCGAGAGCTTATAGTCAGTAGTTCTGAGAAAGCTTCCCTGCGCTCATCGTCCCTGTATAGCAATGCGCCCTGCATTCCGCCTCCATTTTAATCTGTAGTGAATTTGAATGCGTATTAGACATGTGCAACGATTTGCGAAGGCTGAATCTGGGATGCAGACGAGTCTTCACCTTTGCAGCGTCTGAGACCGTTCCTCCAGGTGGACAGGGACGCTTAAGCAGGGCTGGACTCGATATGGGAAATGGGTCTGAACCATAAACATCATGGATGGCTCCCTTAGCCACTAATCTACGTCATCTTTACCCGCTACAGTCAGTCAGTCCATCCAGGAAAACAATTGGTTTCCTCCGGAGCAGTCCCTCCAACAACAATTCGCATGTTTGTTGATGCGTATGAGATTTCACGGTGCTAGGCTATAAGCTTCTTATCTGACTTTGTTCTGTGGGTTAGTAGGAAATAGTGGGTACTGAAGCTCAGTTCACGTGCAAGACAACTAGCTAACAGCTACCGCGCGCTGTCAGCAGATGGGGAATAACGCAAGAGCTAAGGCGAGAAACTCGAATTACCAATCTGTTTGATGGCTCGCAATACGAAAACAGAGAGTACAGCAGAGGTTCAAATACTTAACGACGATAACTGCGTTTATATCATGATCACTTAAATCCAATGCTTCCGTTAGGTTCTATGTCGATGACTGTTTCCTAAACCTGATCAAACTTAGAGATTCTTTTGCCTAGCCCTTCGAATCTTGCTGATCATTAGAGATGTACAAAAGAGCCTGAGAACTTCCTATACTGATTCAAATGAATTTTTACAGAAAGGTCATACTCGAAGGATGAGAAAAAAGGAAATAGAAAATGGAAAAGAAAAGGAAAAGAAACACTAGAAGGGCTAGACATTCATGGAATCTACACCATAATCTGTGTTGATTGTGACACTTACTCGTATAAACTTAATTCTTTTATTATTATATTATGCATAACTCTTCGAAACATCAAAAAGTAGCAAGATCAGAGGATCAACGGTAAGGCTTTGACGTGAACATGATACTGCATCTATAGGAAAAACTTCAATCTTAAGTGCATGGTTTGCCTTTCCAAGCGACAAATACCTGAAATCATATGAAGGAGGGTCCGTCAAAAATCAGGGTATAGGTAGAAGTTGACGTAATGAGGGCTTCATCACAAACCTGTCCATCAACTGGCATGACGCTTACGTCGGGTATGTAGCACAGGACATAATCGATCCACTCCGGTGATAATGGTTCATTCAGGGATGCCAGGATATTTTCCAACTGAAATAAAAGAAATCTTATAGATAGCATAAGAAGATGAACATTACGAAAGAGAACAGGCGATATTGCGATTTGAGCCGCAAAACAAATTCAATTTCAATCAAGAATCGCAGAAGTTCACCAGGCACAGGGTATCTAGCCAGGGATTTGACACTCGAATCACACGAGAAGATGTTTCGGAGCTTGCCACTGGCTCACCTCTGCCGTCAACTCCATTACATATACTATAACATTCACTCTCTAACGCAAAAATTCTGCAAAAAATCGCAAAATTAGGGTTCCAGTGATGGAACTACGCCTAGTGGCACGTATTCCGTATATAGAGAAGGGACTTCTAAAGTTGTTCCCCGCTACCGTCATTGGAACAGAACTTTAATCCCATGGAAACAATGGACAGCTGAAATCATAATAGAAGTGTTTAGAAAAGTCACCTACCCTCGGAATTATTCCACGACGTTCATGGCTTTCAAAAACTTCTTGACGAATGCGAGTGAGATATCTAATGGCTTCCCCATTGATGTCAGGAAACTTGAGGTCATCCTAAATAGTTATGATTATCAAAAATGAATAAAGCGTATCTGCTAAAAGAAACTAATACTGTTGGCCTGAAAGCGAGCAAATCACGGTTCTGTAATGCCCATTCCTCGGGTGTTTCCTCAAGCCCTTGGTACTCGTATCAAATCCTTCAATTTTGCATATATAAATACTTCTGAGCGCATTGATTCCTGCGTACAGGTCTTATGAAATTCCCACCCTTTTTTTACTTCTTAGTATTCCCTGCTCGGTTGCGTACTCGCATCTGTTTGTGTCCGCATTTGTTGGAAACAATTCTGTAATACACTTTCTTTTGGCAGCAAGAAACTCTAGCCGGCGGCTTTCGACGACAAATTTCTAACCCGCAGGGAACTCTCAAAAACTTTTTGCAAGTTGTGGAAGTACATAATGAAAACAGAAGTCCGTGCGTAAATTCGATTTTGTAGACATAAAGGATAAAGAAAAACTTTGAAGAAGTTTAATTCTAGCAATTCCAGTCTGTTGTGAGGAATATCAAAACTTCTCATAAAATTGACCAAAAAAGAATCAGAATTGAGAAACTTTCGATTTATTTTTTGCTTCTTCGAAAGACTTGTCTAGGAGTCGTGAGATTTCTTTGACGACCAGCCTTCACACACTTAAAACATTCCATTAATATGGAATTACCACTTTCTTCCAACCTACATGAACTCAGCCAGGTAAAGTGGAGCTACTTCAATGACCAGAACTCACTAGTATGCTCTTTGTTCCTTCAAAGCTGTTCTCCTTCGCTTGACTGTTCTGGGACGCACTTGCAGTTTTAGGGCATCCACCATCTGATTGCGCCTGCGACTGCTGTGATTCCACCGAGGCGTCTACCTGCGACACGCGAAAGCATATTGGAGCTGGTTCGGGAGAAGAATGAATATTAACACCAGAATTCTGGGAGGATTGTGATACATTTAGCTCAGATGTTGCAGGTGCCTTCTCTAGCATCTCGCGTGGATATATCCCAGCTTGCATTAGCAGCTTCAGTGATGGATCCAAACCATTCGGTGTTTCAGCATCAGGTAGGCCTGTGTCCATGGAATCCGTAGCTTCCGGCGACATTGAATTTCCTGGCAGACTTTGTTTCACATCCAATGGAGCTCGTGATGTTCCACACAGATGTTGCAGGTGCCTTCTCTAGCATCTCGCGTGGATATATCCCAGCTTGCATTAGCAGCTTCAGTGATGGATCCAAACCATTCGGTGTTTCAGCATCAGGTAGGCCTGTGTCCATGGAATCCGTAGCTTCCGGCGACATTGAATTTCCTGGCAGACTTTGTTTCACATCCAATGGAGCTCGTGATGTTCCACACAGCAGCACCCCTTGTTTACTATCATCCGATGAAGAATTTCTCGTAGCGTTGTCTTGATGCGAATGTGACGGATTATCCAATAAGTTTGGTGAAAATCCTATCATTGACTGAACTCGAACAGATGAATCTTCCACAGGAGACATATCAGGAGTCAACAAAAAGGCGGCTCCATCAGGATGATAGTTTCTAAACAAATGATCTAAACAAGGCGCCTTTCTATTTGATAAAAACGTAATAAAAAATTATTTACTGCATACTTCGGGGTTCCATTTCCTGACCCCAACTGAACGAGCAGGTCTTCCTTCAGTTGGCTCTGAAAGTGCTAAAGGAACCTTTTAACGAGTCTCATATACATCGAAACATAGTTAACCTAATCGAGCTGGTTTCCAGACGTTCGAAAGATATAAGGAAGCTTCGAGAAAAATATTACAAAACTATAATTCAAATAGCCTTCTGCTACTTTTCACGTGCCTTAACAACAACGAATGTAAAACAGACGAAACGTGTGAGGTTGAAGATAATGATGTTGGGGTACTTTTCTCAAGTTTAATGATCGAGTTGTAGGTACCGAGAAGGAGGACATCGGTGGCTAAAGCGGGCCAGAATTGAATAAGAGGATATTTGGACGAGATTCCAGCGGAGCGCAGCTGCGCAAGGTGAAGGCTTATTAAGCGAAAAAAACAGAAAACGGCTCTCCACTACTGTCATGAATCAGGGCCCTGGACAACGAGCTGTTTGGGTCTTTGCATCTATGTTATACGATCGGTGAACCTTCATAAGCCATTGGAACACTGCCCGAGCCCAACTCCCGTCTGGATCGTTACTCAACCCCGCAAACCCACGTACTTCTTTCATAGGCCAGGGATTCGTCCCGGTAACACATCACAAAAAATAAGCAGGGTCAAGAGCACAAAGTGGTAAAGCTGGAGTCAAAATCTGGATCTAAACAGTATGTGAGATACTTTAAAAACTTTCGAAGCACCAAAAACTACAACTGTAATCAATCGTGCACAGTTAGCACTAAATACTTCTGAAACTCAACCTCTGAAAACAACAATACCTCTGATGCTGCCGAGCTAGGAAGTTCGTTATTACTGTTCATGCGACGACCGGATTCTGTCGCGCAAAGGGTTGCAGACTGAAAACATCGCTATGTTAAACAGAAAACGGCGAATGCATAAACACTGTCATTTTAATAGTGAGAAGATGCAGCTTACCGATGCTGAATAATGTGAAAGACTATTGAGAGTTGGAATGAACTCATTAAGAGACATATCATTAAACACAGTGCTTGGATCTGGAAGATCGGATGGTTCCGGAGCAACAGCGGAAGTCTGAAACAGATCCGTAATTGAAAAATATCAGTGTAAAGACCTTTTATTGCGCAAACTCTCCTCTAGCTATAAAAAAGCCTATACTCAATCAGTGTGGTACGCCTTACGGTATTAAGCCAAGACAGGCCACTGCCCACATACCTTGGGTACAGCATTGTACTTCAACAATTCACTGCTATGCTCAGTACTACCGGAACTGTTCAGCTGTGCTTCGATTGCACACTTAACATCATCCTGGATTGTCGATGAATGTGGTTCCACACTACTGCATGGCTGTAAAGCAACAATGATGTAGGTTCACTTCAACTAGAAATGAAAGATTGAAGAAATGCGGAATAAAACCCATTCTACAGGTTAAGAAGTTACGAATTTTCTTTCTTTCAGAAACTCACTTATGCAAGCAAAGAGGAATAAATATAAACCATAAATGGCAAACAACATTTAAAAGTATCAATGTTGCAGAAAATGAAGTAAAACCTCACCATAGGATCATCAGAAGACTGAGTAATATCATTCTGTAAAACCGGCTTCGGCACCAATACCTGGGCATCAATGTCTTGCGTGCATTCCTCTGAACCACTATGGCCCGAGATGACGGGATGAACAGGAGTAGGTATGAGAACCTGCATATGACTTGTTATCCAAAACAGAGACATATTAATAAACCGCTATATCTTCTGCTTTGATGTCCTGTATAGGTATCCACAGGTGAGCAAGGGCGATTTCGGATACGGACGCCCAACCCTAACTCCAAGAGCGGGAAGGTGAACCCTCTCGAGAATTTGGTATTAAATTAAAGCGAGAATTAATTCAGGGAACGTTCTGCTGAATATGCTCTGCTCCAGGAGACTATATCTGACAAAAAGGAAAAGGAAAAGGAAACGAAAACAAGTTTCAAGGCGCAAAGTAGATATAAAAGTTGTTGTTTATTTGTAAGTTTAGACAATCGTAATACAAAAATTATTAATAGAGGAGGAGACACTTACCTCATTTGCATCATAACTGAACTCCAAGAGATCGAAGGGATCGGAGAGAGTACGAGTAATTGGCGGATTATTGAAGTCGTCAGTGCTCACAGCAACCGAATGCATTTCCACGCCTGATTTCGCTGAAAACAGAAAACTCGTAAAAGACAAAGAATGAGAAGCTTGAGAGCTGCAAAAACAGAACGCACAAAGTCCTTTGTCAACCGCGACAAAGAGGTTGTGGGGAGGATACGCCTCCATGAAGCACTGAATGCCTTCAAACTCTGGCAAAGTAAAAACCTCGGCCACGGCCTTCTTGCCGGTCCACTCTTCAAGAACCTTAACTGATTATCCATAAGGGAACACTCACCTTCTTTTCTCACGGAACAGCCATAAAATATGCAAACTGCTGAAAATAAAGGAGAGGATGAAGCTCAATACATAACTCTTGTGGGCGTTGAAAAACATTGCTTTGCTGTATTGAAAAAATGACTTGTGCCTATGGTCAAGTCGGTTACCTTTTCGTCAAGTGAATATTGGAAAAAGTAAATTTGTTGTTGGTAACGACCAAGTAAATCGAGATCGGGGCACTCGTCTCCAGTCATCATATCATAGAATCGTTGCCGAACCGATTCCCAACTCACCTAAACACTTTGTGACAATTTTCGAAAAAAATAACGTCACTGAGGAGGTAGTGGTAGCAGGTTCATGATAAGAGGAAGTTACAAAGGTGAAGCAGATATCTTTACAGGCATCAAAGGGAGAAAAATCAATAGAATCCACGCATGCTAACAACATCAAAATCGAGTCTATTTTCATTTCATATGAGTGCATTCACCTACAGGAATTGGGAAACGATAAACGAAGTTGTTGTTAAGTAAAAACATGGAAAACGTTGTGTCTGACTGACCACAGTTCTGTTCTGTGAGCTTTGTACTCTAGTTATCAGCTCCTCCAAAAAGCTCCGCACCTAAACTACATGAGTAGATGCACAAGTGCCTTTCATAAAACGAGCCAACAGCAGTCGATAACCTCGAAAAAACCTTATTAAAACATCGCAAGAGAGCAACATACAATTATAAGATTGTAATCTGAATCTGGCTTTGAACATGTCACTGCTTCTTCTACTTCTAGCACTTCTCTGAAAAGCTCTTAATTACTGCCTATCAAAACCATGCCTCATTTGTGAGACAAACATCTAAGCACCTACTTGTAATTAATGGCGTCCTGCTGAAGAATTGCTGACTCTTTGCGTTTCGCTGATGTCGTAGATACATCCGAAGCAACCTTATCAGAAGGCTTTCGTGATTCGACGTGAAGCTGCGTTTTGGCCGTTGCGTTGGGCAATGCACCTGCCTAAAGTGCAGAAGTTGGGTAGTGTCAAACCTATTGGTGCTGTCATAAACGGTCATTGGAAAACACTGTGGTATGAGATTTATAACTGTTCCTATGGGAATCAAGATTTCTCGCCACAAACCAGACTTTAGATGTTCTAAGCAATCCGCTAAGGAAATAGAGAATTCAACAATAAAATTGATCATTAACACTTATATGAATCGGCTTAAGCAGTTCCAAATCTTCTCGTTTTGCTCTGTGCGCAACAAACACACAGCAATCTCGATATGGGTTACCCACTTTCACCAGATGAAGCTGAGAAGTCGAAAATGTGTTACAAATAACGGGAAACTTCCGTTATATTCGGGGTGACTACTACTAAATGAGTGGATAAATATCATACTAATGGAATCTACGCAGTTATAAACTCAGAAGCTGCCCATATGAAACCATACTCAAGGTCTAATTCAGCAGATTGAAAAAAACACGGTCTGCAACGAGGGTGCCCATCGAAGGCTTTGGAAAACCAAGGGAAAGAAATGAAAAAGAAGGACCGTTTCGGAACAGCTGCATAGACAGTTTTTTAGCAGAACAGTCTGCTTCAACAACCGTGGAGCCGGCAATGAAACAAACTTCTTTCGATCCATTTTTTTGGAACTTCTGGTCAGTTGGAGTAAATGGTAAATCTGCCTCCATGAGATGGTAAATGTCCCCAGTGGGAGAACTGGTCGCAATGTCTCATAGCTGCCGAGCCCACTTTACCCAGATAGGGTAGGTAAGGTCAAAAATCTAAAGCGGGAACATTCCATGCGTTAGCAAAAGTCCCGTACCATCCGCTTGGAGAAGCTATCAAATCAGAATGAGTTGGTTTGAACCCATGGAAACTTCGAGGTACTACAGCAACAGTTTCATCATACATCGTTGAGGGACTCAAAGATTTGATAATGATTAGGAAAAATAGCTTCAAAGGCAATAAACTGCAAAACGAAGTCGAACTTCGAAGAGGTACAAGAGTCTCAATACATACCAATTCTAGCAAGAAGCACTTCCTATAAAAAAGTAACTTACGGACAAATCACCGACTTTTGTATCAGCCACAGCATCTTCCAATTCTTTCCTTTCACTACATGATGAGCTCCTGAACATTAGCTACGTCCTTACACTTGAAATTTCACAGGTAATCTGTACGTGAAACTTTAAAATACTTACTTTTGTTGGGCATGAATACTACGAACGAGCGTTTCAAGTGCTCCTGCAACAGCTACAGAATTCGGTCTTCGTCTTTGTAGCTCAATAGAATGAAATCCAGGTGAATTGGAAGTACTTCGTGTCACCATTGTACGATCAGAAGCCTGATGGAAAGGCTATGTGCAAAAGGCTACCCTTCTGACTCATGAATGAGTCACAAACGATGGGTTTCGCGGCTAACGGCGAAACGAGCCTCCTGACAACTCGTCCGAGACGAAATAAACTCGACCAGATGGCGCAATTCCTTTGCGTCACAGAAACCGATGGCGGATAACTTAGCCTAAATCAACCTCTGATCAATCTATGGAGTAGCTTTGAGATGTACTCAAGTAATTTTCAGCAATTGTCCGTAAGCCTCCGTAAAATTAGCCATTTTGTGGACGACTTTTCCCGCAGCTGATACAGTAGAGCTGTAGGTCAGCATCCAGCACCGAATGATCTACGATCCATTTCAAATGAGGCCACTTCTGCTCTCGTCTGCGCTCTCTAGTCGAAATGGTATCAAATGCTTACTGTAGACCTATTTAATCTCAATCCTAGTTACTAAGGCCCTTCGGATATGGTAGGAAGTTTGCTCGTTTTGATTATGGGCTTGTTCTTCCTGTTCTTCTTGAATCTCGTCTGCTCTGCTCCGTATACAGTGATGTGCTCCTATAGTCAGAAGCGTTTTTTGAGAAGAAAACCTTGAAAAGGGGCCTTTTATGGTCATTCCATTACTCATTCAGTGCTACATTAAATTTTTCGAAAGTGTGGAATTGGTTGTGTTGGATTTCTAATTTCTCGCGGCCACTGCCTCCATTCGCTCAAATCCCGTCTGAAGGCCACGTTTGGGTAACTCTGGTATTCCAGGACGATTGTGGTCCCTGCTAGGGTATCGGTGGGGGGCGAGTCAGACAGGAATCGGCGGAAGGAGAAACGGTTACGTGACTACTTGATCCTCTGCATCCCTGACAACGAAAGGTTAGAGCGCAGAGAAAAACACCCTGGGTGAAGGACACAATTAAAGGGACCGACTTCAAGTAGTCCGTAGGCCAAGGAGTATCCCGGCAAAAATTTGTGAAACATCCATTCGCTTGTTAGATTGGTTTTGTAGGTCTTGTAGAACGTTAAGGCACTTGGGCGAGTAATCTCGCGCTCCGATCTGTTCAAGCCTCGATGAAGGTGGATTCATCAAATATTAGCCATTCGAGGGTTTAAAAACCCTGTTTGAAGTCGTATAATTGAGTTATTCTAGATCGCCGAGATTTATTGAGAAGCGTACCCGGAAGCCTCATAATCACAGCTTTAAATGGATGTACCACATAATCCCACTTGTGGATGTTACATCCCTCCAACGATGCGACCTGTTTTATCTGGGTAACTACCTATTTCCTTGCTGCTAATTCGGTCATACTTCGTGCCTTATCATATTTGGTTGCAAGCCTTCACCGTTATGTCAACCCGTCCATTTGGAGGCAGGGCTGATTGGATATCTTCTTGCGATTGGCACCTGACTACATTACTACCACTGCGTTTGTGGCACTGAAACCTCATACATTGCACTGGGACCCATCTGAGCTCTGTGAGCTCCCTGTGCGCACATCCTGATTATGGTACCTAGCACCTTCGAGTGATCCTTGAATATTGCTTAAATTTCAGTGAAAAATCGGTTGGAATGGTTATGTTCAACTTCGGATAATTTCGTCACATAAAACGCTGAGGAATATGTAAATATGAGAAGGACTTGCACGGAAATTCAGCGAAACTGTAACATCACTATTTCTATTGTTTCAAAATTCCTTGATCTCACGAAAGTGTGGCTCCTGTCCTGTCTGGGAGATCGTCGAGGCAACAGCGCCTTTGATTATTTTTATTGTTCAAGTAACTTATGGTAGTAGCTTATATGGGAGTTTACTTACTTGTAACAACAAATTCGAGCAATATTCACTTTTATTTTTTATTGCAAAAGAACAGGAAAGATAGGCAATATAGTCCATACGAGCTGGGGAAACCACTGTATACGATGGGTACCCGAAGACCCCTGGGAAGCGGAGAAATTCTCATTGTGTGTGTAAAGTGGAAAGATAACAGAATAACATTAAAATGAGGTCATGGTGGAAAACATTCGCCTACATACATACAATTACGGTAAGTCAAAGTTATGAAAGAACAAATAAAAAACAATCAACTATTATTCACAATGAAGAATTAGCTGAATCACACTAACATAATGAATTTTTAAAGCAGAATTTCACCTAAGCATACATGGATGGAAATTCGTGGGGAAAATGAAAGTAGAAGAAGTGAAATGATGCGAGAAAGAAATTTGGTTGTTTCATTCAGGACTCGTCCACGGGAATGTTCACCCATAAATTGCTACGGTGGTATTCCAAATAAACACCTTTTTCCAGAGAAAACTTGCTAATTTTCCACCATATCTACAGTTGGGCAGCCTGAAGTGCTCTGTCCAAAAGAATGTTGGCCACGCCCCCCCCCCACCCTTCTTTTTTGTCCAATCCTTTCATTGCTCACTCAGTTGAGATCTACAAATCTAAAACTGTGCTTTCCCAGTGCAATTCTGATTCTGGTAATTTTGGTGCCAATTGCAATCAAGTAATACTACTTGCTTCAAATAAAATGACATTTGAAAAGAAGTACTTTTCTACGACAAGTGGAATGTTCAAATACGCGCTGTCCAAGTAGTGTTTGGCCACGCCCCTCGCCTAACTTCACCCATAACAGTGCGAGCATTTCCGTGGACAAGACCTGCGAGATGATTATCCTTCTTGAGAAGCAAGAAGAAGGAACAGGAGATGACAGCACCACCCAGGACGGATGGTCATTGGACGAGTTTGCTTGGTTTTGGTTCCTTCTTCTGATGATAAATGCAAATTATAATAGCTTGGATTTCATAGGTCAATGAAATCGAGTTCTAAGACGTTCAGCTTCTTCTGATCACATAAATTTCTTCGTGATATTCATAATTCGATGAAAGCCCTGTTTAATTCTTGAGGTGTGCAGATGTGGACGTGGAGATTTGATTGTCCGCCTTCCTTCGAGTGCAGCAAGGATGGCTGAGTCGAACATCTGAAATTACAGAAGGAAACTTGACAGTTGCCTCACAAGGATAACTAACATTTCTGCGATCACAAAGAGCATCATCTCCTACTTACGATACAGCCGATTTGGCGCTCTTTGTGGTCTCAGAAGGTTCCTGGAAGGGCACATAAACTTTGAGATAAGTTTTGCTTGCCTCTTTCATGGTTTGTTAACATTTCAGAACCCATACCTGCTTCAGATTATGTTGGGTGAGGGCGGAGCATTCGAAAAACTCCGCCCCAATTTGTGAAGCGAGTTGTCGTCCTTTTGCCGTGGATACCGTATCTTTTGAAGTTTGCCATCGCAGATCAACTTGCGTCCCGACAAGCAGCACTAAAATACCAGTATATCCCCAATTGCCAATACAGTATCTGGACCTGGTCAATCGCTAGTCTCACCTTGCGCTACAGGATTTCCACGATTTATCTCTGGAAGCCAATGAGCGGAAATTTCAGCGAATGATTGTGGATCGACGACCGAATAGACGATCACGAATACGTCGGCATCCGGATATGAAAGGGGGCGGAGGGTGTCAAATGATGACTGAAATTGAATAGGCTGAAAATCTTAACGATGTTCAAATGAAAGGGTGGAGAGAAAATTTTTGAGGCGGAAAAACCGAATGAAATGCTAGTGACTGTCTTGAGTTTGCAGCTGATAGAGGGAATTCCGGTGGATATCGTTCAGAAGTACCATGAAAAACGGCAAACAGCGTTTTGTAGTAGCGAATATTACAAAACAGCTCTGTCAGATGTGAAAGGAGTACGGCCAAGGCATAAAATGTCAGGCCATCAATGATTTGATCAGATTCCATAAAGAATCTAAGCAGGTCTCGGGGCATTACCTTCAACTCTAGCCATTTCTAATATTCATTTATCGCCTTCCGTCAAAAAACTCCGACATCTTCCTGGCAGCATTCAGTCGTGCATTTACTATAGACTACCAACCAGCTCTGATAGGGGCTGAACCTATTGAAGATATTCAACAAGCCCCAGTTCCGATGCATCTGTATGCGTTCTAGACAACGGACCAGGATCTTTGGAAGGTTTTCTGTTCACTTGGGAAGCAACCTACCTGTACACGCAAGTAAGGCAATCGCCTCAGAACTTCTACTTTTGTGTTGTGTGGCACACTTTCGAGTAGATGTGAATAAATAAATAAATAAATAAACAAATAAGTAAATAAATACATAAGTGCAGCACAACCAATTAATATCAATGAATTGATCTGAAACATATTGCTGCCGGATAGGAAAAATACTGAAACTCAAGAGTAAACAATTTATTACAGTAGCTACATATATGTAGTTGACAGGTTCTCATTAACCTTTTCGCTGAGGATAAGAGCTCCAAATCTATTTTCAGTCCCTCATTGCTAAAATCTACATGTGCTGGTCAAATTTGTTTAATCATCTATTATGAACCCGTCGACATTGGATGTCAAATAGAAAGCTGTCATCGATGGCCCTGCTGCTTTTGTCCGACGATCGTCTTAGGCTAGGACAGATTTAGCCGCCCTCAGCAAATCAGTCTTGGTACAGCGCTCATTCAGAAATATGGTCCTTTTCCTCCTCACAGCCGTATTATGCTGCTTCTCAGTGAAAGCGTGAGTCCATAATTTTTTTGTAGCCCATTATATATTTTTGAAGCTTTTTTGAAAGAGTGGAAAATTAATTGAAAGTAAAAAGTAAATAGAAAAGTACTTCTTGAGTAAGCACTAGGAATGTCACGTTCATGGCCTACTCCAGGACCTAGTTCGAATCGGTCACTCAGCGCCCACTTTGAACGCCCCCCTTGTACCTTCCCTTCTCACTCTAGATATCGAACAAATGTGACCTTCCTGTAACGCCATTACTCATGTACAGATCGAGTTACTGATAATCTGATCAGTGTACGATCCCGCGGGTGGCTATACTAGTAGTATATAGTAATGTCCCACGAACAGCTAGCTGGCCTGCTGTAATCGAGAAAACAAATAGTCCTCAAAGAACTGCCGTTATGAGGTGTCACTTCAGATTCGTAGCCACTTTTCAGTTCGCACTATCCACGCTTTTTCTATCAAACCAATACGACGACCTCAGACGTCCAATCGGTGCCATTCAGTCAACAAAAAACCGTCAACGACCTCTCATATTTAAAAGCAATTGGACCGCTGGCGAGAGTCATAAAAAATTTCAGTAGGTTTTTTTCATTGATTCAATTTTGGTACTGCTAAAGAGATATCTATCAAGGAGGCGTCTGAGTCCCGGAAAATGTTACTTTGAAGGCAATGGTTAGATAATTGATGATAATTGTATGGAGAATAATTTTAGCCAAAATTTGAGGATTCGAAAGAGCTAAGGTAGGATATCGTGCTTTGTAGTAGTTAAGTAAAGCCTAAAGATGAGTTGGAATAGAATTACCGATGCCGTTCGTTGGGTAATCCTTCAGCATTCTACTGTAATCTCATTGGCCACCTCTTATGAACACCATATCTTGTTCAGAATGAAAAACAACCATTTATAAGCGAAAAATAAAAAATATTCACTAGATTCTTTTTTAAGTGCACCTTTTCTGATACCTTTGACACCACGTTACACCCTTTGTTCTTTATAAATGCGAGCGATCATTCCTGCTGAAGGGTAAGGACAGAATAGCGTCCTACTATGGGTAAAGCTGGAAAGCCTCATGAAATCCTTCAACTTTCACGAAGAGGCTCCCGGAAAAACCCCAGAGTACAAAGAATTGCCCAGAGCACATGAAATTGCAACGAATTAAACAAAGACCCCCGTGAGAGGCCCGGTCACATGTTCCAGCTCGATTGTGGGTGTTCGTTTGAGAGCTATAAATTCTCAAAACTGCAGTTCGATGGTCGCGGTACTCAGGTCGATTTCTGATGATACGGCAATAAACCGAAGTTTATAGTCGATCGTGAATTCCCGAACTGCGTAACACACAGTCTTTTCGAATGCACGACCCCCTTCTTTTTTTTTAGCGATTTGGATAGACTTAATCAGAACAGTAATTGCTATAGAACGGACCGACAAACTAGTTTCATAAAAATGCTAGGCGACCTTTATGGCCCTTTACTCAGCATTTTTTAACGATTTATCGCAAATTAACCTTCTTGATAGAGCAGTTTTCTCAGTTTCAAGTAACTAAACAAGGTAAATAATGAAAAAAGTGTTATACTATATAATAAATAATTGAATCCACACGATAAAGGAATGCAATGGTTGAAAAAGAAGTTAACTCACCTGTCCTGCAGTGTCGCATAATTGGAGCCGAATAGGTTTCTTATCCACGCGAACCACAACTTAAACGAAAAGATTGGGGTAAAATAAGAATGTTCGTGAAAAGTTTCTACAGTAATACCCAAAATGTAACAGTAAAGTTGTCTCAATTCATATTCTCTAACCGCCAGTATCCAGGCAGGTGATGATTACAAGTGTAGGAAACTTAAATAAGTGTCTGGATATTGATGATTGGGAAGACGGGTATCGGGTAACTTCAGGTTTTACTCAAAAATTTTCCAACTGACATTTCCCAGACGTTTCATATTGGGAGACAGGAATCAAGGCATCTCTCATCCCCTAGAAGCTTGAAGCCTCTTCATGGTCAGTTGTCGGACATGGTCTGGATGTGGGATATACCCACAAGGGATCACAATTCCTTCTCATACCAATGAGTGATCCTAGCCCTGACTAAACGGTTCAAGACGCACGGCGCATTCTGCCACTTTCCTCCATTTTGACTCCTTTCGCTTACTCTTTCCCCAAACTTCCATGATTGAATAGAATTACCTGAGTAATTGTCGAATGCCGTTGGAACATAGTTTTGAGGATAGCCGTTAGTAGTATAGGAAACGATCAGGGACGTTTTCCCTACAGCTGCATCACCCACCAGAACACATTTCAGTGTCCGGACCGGTTCGTCGGTCATCTGTAAAATAAATGTTGACAAGCTGGAAAGTGAGCGAATGTCAATAAGGTTTTTTTCGACGGAACAGGTACACGAATGAAAAAATGAGAGGCGTCTACTACAAAAAATCGAATCAAAAAGAAAACAGGAGTTATTTGAAAGCGGTCATGTGATTATGATGATGATTATGACGGATCGAAGGGAGCGACCCTGAGAATACCTCCCTCTCCTGAAAGAAATGGCCATGTTCTTAAAAACTGAAGGAACTACTACTGCTAATTGAACTACTACTACTTTGCTAGCCGTCTACATCATCACTGTGTACAGTATCGATGTCCCACGCAAACTTTGTGGGAAAGCCCTTTTCCAATCCAAGCATTACCCAGTGAAAGAATAGGTATCAGAGAAACTGTATACTGCGAAGCTTACTAAAGGCGATTGGGTGGTCTCGTTCACGTAGTGGAGCAGGAAAATTTCCCGGGAGGCAGGCATACTGTGGTGCAATTCCACCTGAGGTCATGGCTTCATTTTTCAATAAAATAAAAAAGAACCAGAAAATAAAAAGGACAGGATAAAGAAATGAGTTGGCTTCTCCCGAGTAGAAAAGAAAAGGAAATGGTAACAGTAGAAATTTTCAATTATAAATATGTACTATTAATTTATTGAAAAAAAATTCAAGTTTACTTCCTCATGAAATAAAAATTGGCTGATGAAAAACGAGAAAGTAATAAATGAATTCAATCGAATACGAGATTAAGAATTGATCGTTCGATAGAAGAAGCTGGGAGGGGTTATGAGATTTCCCACAAATTGTCGGGAATCATCGAGAGGTAGGAGATTTAGGGTGCTGACGATCCAGTCAGTGTGTGGCAATTTTTAGAAAAACTGCCAAGTGGAATACCTAATGTGGGGAGCGATATTCCAGTTTCACATGGTCTACCGCAGTGGAGACGCCTGAGTGATTAGGATCGTTGTCTGCTAATCAAATCTCCTGATCAATTGGGAAGAGGCGATCTTAGATCCTCGAAAACCTGAGTGTCATAAGGTTCCCTTTGTGGAAACCCTTTTCCGGGGCTTACCCTTGTAGCAACTGGAATGAACTTGGTACGGAAGTATGAACAATGAGCTTTTGGATTATTCCACACTCTGGGGGCAGCACTTACAGAGCACGACCTCCTTTTTCATGCCGTCATCGGTGGAATGGATCCTTTCTGAGGGCTCGCCTATGAAAAGGGAGTACCAGCTGCTATTTTGCATTCAGAGGACCTCCTCTCGTGGCACGGTGATAGGCATTGTGATGTGGGAAGAATATTACTTTCCAGGTAGTGACAGAAATAGGAGAAAGAGTTATTCGAGCAGTGAAAGGGCTAGTACTGCATGACGAATTTCCTGAAGTTTTGTGATAAGCGAACGACGAAAACGCTATTGTTCTTCGCTAGTTTCTATGAGCAACACGAATACGGCACTCCCTTTTCAAGTACCTTACTGGCACAATGGGGTACATGAAAGGAAGGGACATCTCAAGACATTTCGGGGCTCATTGAGGAAGTTCAAGTCGTCGCAAGCTTCTCCTTTGAGGGTAGGGAGAGTCGTCCTGAGCCTCGTTGGAATCTAATCTTGGTAAAAGAGTGACCTCATGAATGATACACTCCAAAAGTTCTTATGTTATTGTTACAGACAGAAGGATGAAAGTAAAGCGTTCAACGTTCAACGTTAGTCAACCCCGCCGTTGGGATACTCCTTGCACTCGACTTCCATCCG